CGAGCGACTTGCGAAGGAGCTCCATGTCGAGGGGAAGCTGCGTGATGGCATTCGCACCAAGGCAAATCGAGTAGAGGGGCATGTCTGCCGTGTAAGCCAGTGCATTTGTCGGTAGGTCAGGAAGGTTGCAATGGTCAAACACCACCGTCTCGAGACTGGTTAGGGCGGGAAGAACGTTCGGAAACACCAACGCTGAGTTGTGACTCAAGTCCAAGCGCCGTAGCATCGAAAGTGACTTGATTGTCGCCGGGAGAGCGGACAGATCATTGTACGATGCGTCTAACGCAGCCAGTGCAGTGCAGTTTCCCACGCTGCGAGCCATTGATTGTCAGTGGAACCTTGCGCCATGGAGCTCACCTCGCAGGGAGGCTTGTCAGGTGGTTGTGGCTCACGTCGAGGGTGTGTAGACTCGCGAGCCGGCCCCAACTGTCGGGCAGCTCTACCAGCGCATTATGCTGGAGATAGCATGTCTCCAGCGCCCTAAGGTTGCCGAATTCGGTCTCGAGAGACGGGATCGCGTTGTAGCTCAAGTCGACAGTCGTAAGGGCGGTACAGTTGTCGATGAGCGCAGGACATTTCACCAGGTTGTTGTTGCTCAGGTTGAGGGAGGTCAAGGCCGTCAAGAGCCCGATGCTAACTTGCCACGCGCTGGTCTCCCGAAGCAGTCTTAGGTCGCCTTCGACAAAGGGGAGGTCAGCCATCAAGTTGTAGCTCAAGTCGAGCGACAGCAAGCCACGAAGCTTCCATAGTTTTGGAGAGAACGTCTCGATACGATTGTGCGATGCGTGTAAGTGTCGCAAAGATGCAGTCGTTTGGAGCCCCACGGGTAGCGTTGCCAGACGGTTGTGGCTCACGTCCAGCTGCACTTGCATGGGTCATTGTTTACATCTGGCGCGTCAGACGTACGTGGACGAGCGCCGTGAGGTCTTGGATGGCCGATGGAATGCGGTCGAGCTTGTTCCCCCTCAGATCGAGCGTTTCCAGCCGGTCCAAGTTCCACACGCGACCAGAGATTGCTGTCATTTGTAAGTGGCTCAGATTCAGCTGCGTCACTGGAATGTCGTCGAGCTCAGCGTCTTCCGCCGCGTCCACAATAAGCTGCCATGTCAACGTCAGATCCAGCGCGACCACCAACCTCGCACCTGCGCTTTCGAACGCGGTAGTCGCCGCTTGCTCAAGTTCAAGGACCGATCGCTCGCGGCATCGCCCAAATCAGCGCTGCGAAAGTGGCCAGGGCTGAACGGGAGCTGTAGCTGTGTTCTAATGCCGATTAGTGTTCAAGAGTCGATCAGATGGTGGTTACCGCTTCTGTGTTCCTCTGTACACATACGTCGCAATGCCGTCGGCGCCCACCACAAGCTCGAACAGCTTGCGAAGACCATCCCGCGCCAAGACACCACGCCATGCAGCCTGGATGAGGATAGCCGACGATAGTGCTTCAAACGAAATGCTGACGCTATCATCCGGTTCCGATTCCTCCGACGGCATCGCTGGCACTGTCCACGACGATTCGCCCGTGCTCTCGTTCACGTAGTACACACGCTGCGTGGCGATGTCGTAGGATTCCTGCCACCCAAGAGGTAATGCGGTGCCAGTGGTCTCATCGCTGACGTTAGGCGAGGTGTGGGGCTTCGTCTTGAGGCCCCGAGGTGTCGTCCACGAGGTCTGCCCAGTCTGCGCGTTGTAGTAAAAGTACTCTTGCGTACTAGGGTCGAAGATGCGTTTGTACAGCGATTGCATGAGCGCTTGCATGTGCTGGCGAGCGATCCTAGCCCGCCACATCTTTTGGATGAGAACGGCTGCCGACTCGTTTGTCAGGACAATCCGAGCCCGCGCCTTCCACTCGATATTCTCATTTGGAGCCGGCTTCGTCCACGACGTCTCGCCGGTGGATCGGTTGAAGTAGAATACGTGGTTCGTCGATGGATCAACAGCGTGTTCCCATCCGTCGCGCAGGTCCGATGTTGACATGCCAAGAACAACGTGGCCCTTCGCTAAAGATCCACCTTCCTTAGGGACGAGCCATTTTAGGGCGGTTTGACCAGATATCTTGTTGCTACCTGTTGGAATACCTCTGGTGTTGGTATTTTGACCAAATGGGTTCTTGTCAGGTTGTGTGAGTGCCTAGGAGTCATAAGGAGAAATCGCCACGAAGTCAGTCGAGTATCTCGTCAGGGCGACAAAGTTAGCCAAGTCAGTGATACGGAATAGATATCGTTAAGTATCGTACGATGAAAAACCGGTTTGCACATGGTTCCTCTGCAGTAATTGGGAGAATCTAGGGGCCACGTGGAATGTGAGTTACACGGCAACGACGAACAAATGAGGTAAGACACTCAACACAGTAGATAGCCGCTACAATCTTCAATGAAAGGGATATGCCATCATTCACACTGCAAAAGCAATTCGCATAGGGTTGTTGGAATATGATGCAATGCAAGAGAAATGAAGATATGAATCGTCCAAACTACTGTCCCAAAACGTTGAACAATTGAGTCTAGACATTGATGAAAAAATCTCCCTAGCCGGGACTCGAACCCGGGTCACCTCGGTGAGAGCGAGATATCCTAACCGCCTAGACTACTAGGGAAGACTACTATTTGCCACCTAGTACGCAAGCCGTGTACAGCTCTCCAAGTATGTCTACCCCCGCCGCCCTCGCTGCACCTTCCCACGCTGCCACGACTACCAGTGTAGTCAGTGGCGTCGACTCCCAGCCATCGGGCATTTTGTCGTCGTCAGCTGTGGCCTCTGTGCGTCCTCGATCTTCTGCGTTCGCTGAGGCGCGTGCCCGTTTGGACGCTGCTCCTCGGGAAGTGCCCTCCTTGCCACGTGTTCCCATTGATCCTGGCGCTCCTGGTGTTCCCGCCAACGATGGCGACGACGTGTGGGCCTTCCAGCGCGAACAGCGTCGCCAAGCCGACGCAGTCCGCTCGAAGAGCGACATCGGATACCACCGACCCACGATGGCTGAGCTGCAACCTGTTCTGGACCTTCTGGCCACGGGGTCTGCCACCGGAGGCGAACTGTTTGACGCCTTCGAGCCTCTTCGACGCGACTCGAAACGTCCCATCGTTGGTTACGTTCGCATCCCGACTGGTGCCCACACCGCGCAGATCGACGAGGGCAAGGCCTTGAAGGCCGTGCTCTTTGACAACCACCAGGCCAATGTCGGCCCCTCATTGGCTGATCTGATCCAGCTCCGAAAGGACCTGGCCAACGAGCAACTGGTTCTGGGCCTTGCGTCGTTTCGTGCAATCGACGCTCTGACCGGCGTCTACTTGAAGCTGCCTGTCAAAGACGGACAGAAAACTTTCCTCGTGGAGTCCTCCCATGCCATGGATGGGTTCCATGTTGACATCCTCGACTTTGCCCACGATCGCGCGGCCGAACGGCACCTTTGGTGCATTCTCGCTGCTTGGGGCGCCCCTCCTATCGCGGGCGCGTACACGCAAGTTTCGGCCGTGCAGGGCGCAAAAACGTCCCGCTACCGCCTGACGTTTGCCACGGCCGACGCGCCGTCTCTGTTTCGATCCAACGGACGACTGATCGACGAGATTATTCTCCTCGGACGTTGCCACCGTGTTTACGGAAAGGGTTGGTACAACCATAAGCAGCCCCTACAACGTACGGACATGGATATTGCGGCCCGAGAGCGCAAGATTGTCCGTCCGTCGACTGCGCCACCTCCTAGCGAGTCCCCATCATCCCGCACGCCTGGTTCTTCAAAGCGCCAGTGTGTTGTACCTCCTCCCCCCGTGGCCTGGACTCGTGTACACCGCGGGACACCCTCTTCACCACGCGACCCCGGGCGTCCCTGGGTCTCGGCGAACATGTTCGACGTCCTACGTCAGCATGTCGTGGTAACCCCCGTCCAGCTGTCTGCCTCCAATGGCAAGGATGTTGTGATCGTTCCCCAAATTCTCGAGGCCCCCGATGCCCCCACGTCAACCCCACCTTCAACTTTCGTTGGAGGCACCAAAATTGTGGAGGGCAAGACAGTTCGCATCGAAATGCCACTCGACGCAATCCTGCAGGAGTTTGCCTTGTTGGATCGCTCGTCCCAGGTGGCGCAGGCATCATTTGACGCTCACTGCGCCGCCGCACGTGGCTCGACCAACTTGAACCTAGCCACGTACATCCAAAATGGCGAGGCCGATTAGATCCAACGTGACCTTGAGGCCCACCCCATTGAGTTTGGTCGCCAATTACAATCTCTTGCGACCTCCGACCCCACCCAACTCGTCCAATTGATCCGCCTCCGCCTGGTGTGTCGTTGGTTGCGAGCGACATGGGGATCTACGACCCCGTTCTACAAACTGTACGCGAATGTTTTCGGCCACAAATTTTCGATGCCTGCTCTCGACGACGATTTTGCCACACTGCTCAGCACGGCCAACGTAACAGACCACGTCGCTCTCCACGATGGTGACGAATGTTTGGTACTGGCGCTGGACGCGGAATTTGTGCTGGCCCTCGGGGAAATCGTTCTCGCCTCTGTGGCGCCCATGTACTACGCTAGCGACTCTGCTCTTGGTGCTGCGGCGTCATCACCCGTCTTCTCACTCCCTGCACGTGGTGGTGACAGATTCCTCGCTTCCTGCACTCTTAAATCTGTGCTTCTTCATTCTCCGCTGGGTTCCATTGTCTGGGACCGTACGCGAGCGCTCCTGTCGACAGCTGCTGCCTCGGCTACCGATCGGGCACGCATGGACGGCAACATGGACGGCGATGCCCCCATGGAAGCTGACCCTACAGCTTCGCTCCTACTTGACTGGGTGCGCGACATGGATCGGCTGATAACGATCGACTTCCATGGCAACTTGGATATAGATGCGTCCAACCAGGTCCTGTTCGATGCGTCGGTGAGCGCCCTGGTCCACCGCAGCCTCGACGACCTGTGGTCCAACGATGGTGCCTCGTCGAGCGGCTAAGCCTGTCGCTACCCCCACCCTGGGAGGCGCAGCTTCAGTCTCCATCACAACCTGCAACATCAACGGTTTCACCAAAAACTCTGACACTCCTGCCAAAGTTTTGGGCGCCTCCATCACCCAATGTGTGTTCTTCCAAGAGACGAAGATCGACAACCAGGACCACTTTCGCACGATCCGCCGTCACCTGACCAACCACGTCGGCTACAAAAACTACCACCTCTTCGTCAACGACCACCGGACGTCTGTCCACACCTCTCTCCAACACCGCAGCAAGGGCGTCGCAACTTTCTTCCACTCGTCCATGCCCGGTTTCAACGACCTCAAACCTCTCTGGTCCCTACGCGTCCCTGACCGGTACCTCGTTGTCCAAACCAGATGGAACAATCAGTATGTCTACTTCCACAACGTGTACGCCCCCGTCGAGGACAACCTGCGTGCCCCATTCTTCGACAGTCTACCCCGTGAGTTTGAGGACGACAGCATACACATCGTGGGAGGGGATTTCAACCTTCCATTCGACGTCGCGCTTGACGCAACCACGTTCCATCCCGGCCACAACGCTGGAAAAGTCGAATGCTTCGAGTGGCTGGCATCGCTACGCGTAGTCGACGCCTGGCGATCAAAACATCCCCTCGCAAAGGTGCTCTCTGGCCCGCGTCGGCGCAATCGGCTCGACTACATCTTTGTCGACCACGACTTGGTGACCGCCTTTCACGAATCCTCCACCTTTGCTCCAAACGCCTTCCTTGGCGACCACTTGACTCACACCACTACCCTCGCGTCGGATGCGCACTCTGCCCCGACCACTAAACGGCGATTGTGGCGTCTCCCCCGAGAGCTGCTTCGCGACCCACGTGTGGTCTGTGCGCTGCAATTCGAAGCACAGCAGCTTCTGGACACACTCGATGCCAATCCTGACTGCAACTCTGGGGCACTGTGGTGTGGGTGGCTCCGCCGCATGAAGACCAAGCTGAGACAAAGTCAATACAACCGTCAACGTCACAAAGCTTCGGCACTGCAGTTCCTTCGGCATCAGTGGGATCGGCTCAAACACGCCCATCGCAACAACACTGCATCCGAGCATGACGTCGAGTCTGCTAAAGATTCCTACACCAATGCACGCGCCGAGTGGCGCCAGGAATGCCTCGATGTTGGATTCGACCGCCATACCAGTGTCAATGAGAAGGCGACCTCGCATTTTCTGCGAAAACCCCCCGCGCTCAAAGTCCCCATCACCAGCGTAGTGCTTGGCGAGAGCACGTCCTCCAACCCCGTGGTTGTAGCTCGTGTCTTCACCGATCACTGGAAGTCCATCATGGTGTCATCCCCCGATGCGCCTCGCCCGAACTTGGCTGTTCGAGCTCAAGTCGTCAACCATGTGAACAAATCGCTCACCGCTGAGCTTCGAGCCGACCTGGATCGCCCCATTGACCCTGCCGAACTCAGCGCTGCATTGATTTCGATGAAACCAAACACGGCTCCAGGCCCGGATGGGTGGCCGGTTGCCTTCTTTCTCACTGCGCCTTCCACATTTGCTGCCATCCTGACCCGTGTTTTCAACGACCAGCGGTCCAAGTTCGGCTGCCTTCTCCCCCAGCAGCGCCAGAGCGCGGTGACTTTGCTCTATAAGAAGGGGCAGCGAACCGATCCGGGCAACTACCGCCCAATTGCACTCATGCCCGTTGAAGTCAAGATCCTCTCGCGTGTACTGGCATTTCGTCTGTCCACCGTTGCGCCCACCATCATCCACCCAACGCAGACAGGATTTGTCCGTGGTCGCAGCATGCGGGACCACATCCACCTCATAACAGCCCTACAGCACAAAGCGACCCGCGACGATGAGGAATGGTACGCGACCTTCCTTGATTTCGCCAAGGCATACGACCGCGTTGATCAAACCTTTCTGTTTGACGTCATGGCCAAAATGAACATCGGACCCAATTTTCTCGAGTGGGTCAAGCTGCTCTACACCAAGCCTGTCGTGCGTCTGCTCCTGAACGACTCCCTCGGGCCAGCCATACGACCAAACCGTGGTGTCAAACAAGGGTGTCCCTTGTCGTGCCTCTTGTTCGACCTCTACATCGAGCCACTCGGTGACATGCTCCGAGCTGCACCTGAACTGGGCATCCCCATGCCCGACGGCACAAGCATGACCAGCGTGTTTTTTGCAGATGACGCTACCCTCCTGTCCAACTCCCTCGAGTCGGCAGATCATCAAGTCGCCACCATTGTGGCCACGTTCTGTGCTGCGTCTGGTGCCGCCCTGAACATCAAAAAGTGCACAACTCTGGTCCTCAATTCGAATGAACCTCCGGTCGGCCGAGCCAGTGCGCCATCAATCACCCTCGCGGACACGGGTGTTCCCATTCGCTACCTTGGCATCTACGTCGGCCACAACCTCGACCCTGCGTACCAAGTGCAACTCATCAACGACAGGTACCTGCAAGCGTTCGCAAAATGGTCATGCCGTGCCAGAACCATCCAGGGACGTAAAGCCCTCGCATCAGCCGTGATCCTCTCACTGATTTGGCACGTCACAGCCGTGACGGCCGTACCCTCCGCCATGATCGCGACTTGGCAACGTGTTCTTTCGAACTATGTCCTCGGCAGTAAAACCTCTGACGACCCCAAGTACCGTCCCCTGGCGGCTCGCGTCTGGCATCACGACAAGGTTTTGGGCCTTGGTATACCCCACATCGCATCATGCATTCGCACACAGCGTCTGCTACTGCTACAGAAACTCATGCTGCCGTACACCGACGACGTTCGTCCGCCGTGGACAACCCTTGTGTTAGAGCAATTTGCCCGTTGCTTCCCCCAGCTCCACAGACCATCCCATCCGTTTGATTTTCTGTGGTGCCGTCCCTCCACAACAACTTCGTGGCACGACCTTGATGAGGTTCAATCTCTGTGGCGCGATGTTTGGGCATCCTGGTCGAGCGTGCCGCTGCCGAAACGACAGCACGTGCCGCCCGACCTGGCCACCACGCTCAGCATGCCCATCTGGTCTACAACGTACCCGCCCTTCCTGTCCGACCAGGGTCACTGCGCTGCCCAGCTCGCATCGACCACACTCTCCTGCCGCCAGTGGTGCCTCCATGGAGCCAGTAACGGCCTCCACAGCCTCTACGATGTCATTCGCATCGGTCCTGGTGGGTTTTGGCCGGACTTCGACCGATTTCGGGGGTACATGTCCGCAGGCAATTGCAACGTGACCGTGTCACTGCACAGAGGCAGGATTCGCTTCGACATGGTCGACCGTACGAGACGCGTCTATGACCACCTCTCCAACGTCTACGACGCCGTTCGTGACCAACTACAAATCCGTCGCGACACACCACACGAGGGCGCACCCACCTCGTCCCACGCCTTTTCAATGGTCATCAAAGACGTGGCCGTGCCATTTGAGCTGTGGCCGCGTCGTGTCGTTCGTTCAACAGCGTTCCATGGGCCCGACCTCACAGCTCCACACCCAACGGCGTCTGCATCCCGCTCCGACCACCTATCCGCACGCATCTACATGCGACACGT